ATGTTCACCCACGAGAATATTTTTCCTGCAACATTTACTTGTTAAATAACAACTGTTTTTTCTACATTTTTAAATAAAACAAAATTGAGCTGTTAAAACTGGCGTGTGTGTGTGTTCGTATTTAGATCATTTTATAACATCCTAGCATTTCTCTGCATATTTTCAAATATGTGTGGTCACATGCAATATATATCCAGAACTCGTGTCCAGCATGTGTTTTGTTAGTGGCTCAACTTTTATTTATTATTTGAGCTCAATGATCGTAAAAAAAAAATGAAATGTAGCCTTTTTTTTTGTCGGCTGATGTTGATCAGCTGTGGTAGCCATCTTCAATCAGATAATTTCAAAAATTCAACATCTACCAATTACTTTCTGAAAGTTTCATTTAAATCTAACCAGTGGGTCGTGAGATATTTTGCTAACAATTTGTGCTAATTTTAAGCAAACATATTGTGTGGCGAGCAGAACTACTGTATATGTTCTGAGTACCACACCTAATTCTTGCTCAATATCTGTAAAATCAGCTGAATTATAACCATTTTTGTGTTTTCCAAGATCAGTTAGCTGTGGCGGCCATCTTGAATTGAGTTGACTTCTTAACGTTATTTGTTGTAGACGTAGCCTACTGTAGTGAACTAGGCCTGATGTCAAGACCTTGACCTTAAGGACCATATGGGACAGAACTTGTCATTTCATTGATTTGCATCCAGAAATACAGGTTGACCCATCCTGAGACTTTCTTTCTTGAATTAATCAAGTGAAAGAAGACTATTCTCTATTATCATTACTATTTTACAAATGTTTTGATAATCAAATTGTGTTTTAGTTCAAACCATTTTTAAATGTTGAAGTGAACTAATCATTTAAATCAACTGTGAAACAGTAATAACGATTTTTAATCCTCATTCAAAGAAGAAATCAGGTTAATGATGCATTGTCTGATGTTCTGTCTTCAATGAGCGAAGTTGTAAGTGTCGAAGTTCAAGTTTCGGTCAACTGAAAGTTTACTGAAAAGAAATGTCATGTTTAACTTTTACAGCAAGATACTGGAGAATTGGCTCCACGAAGTCTGGTTTCTTCATAATATCTTTTTGTCTGTTCTTAAACGATCTTAATCTTTTCCTTGACTTTTCATAACACCTTACATCACAAAACACACCTCTGTTTTGGTTCATTGACCAATCAGAAACTCCCAAATGAACCGGAAATAGAGCTCTTTAAAATGTCGGTACTTCCTAGTTCAACCCAGTTTGAGTCGACAGTAGAGTTTGGAGGCGAGGTTGGGGAAACAGGAAAATCCTGACATGACCACAGAGCTCTTCCGAGTCTTATGGGATTATAACATTTTCCACCTCTGGGTGGAACTCTGACGGACTCCACTCATGTGAGCCCAACCGAGAGGTGAACTTTTGTTGATGAAGTACTGCCACCACTCCGGACGGTTCTCTGCCATCCTACGGAGACGCTGGACCGGTAGCGTTAACTGAACTCCATATCCGCTGATTCATCTTCAGAGAGGTTTACTACCGAGCGTACCGAGGAAAGCTGGGTTCGAATGGAGGGTGTCGTTCTGTTCAACACTTTCCCTCACACACCATCTCCCTCCCTCTAAACTTCATCTTTCCATCTTTAAACTCTCCTATCTGCTAGCAAATTAATCCAGATATTTTTAGAAATGTCTGAAGCAAAGTTTTCACCACCGCCGTGTGGTAATACCTGCCGTTCTGCTGGAAGTGAGAACAATCGCTGCATTGTTTACCACTCCTGTAAAACTGATTAATAAGCTGTCGTTATTTTCAATTTTTGCCAATTAATGTAAATGTGTGATGTGTTAAACTTGATTCTGTTAATAAATGACCCACTGTCTTGGTGAGTCAAAGATAATTAACGTCTCACGTCCACATTTTATTAGATTCAGATGCACGTCATATACAGTCCAGAAAAATGAAAGAATCCGTTTTAACAGTATGAATATATATCAGTATATGTACATACTACACTACATTCATCATTTCTTTTTCTAGTTTAATAAGTTACATGCAGAGGTTCCTGAGATATTTTGATATCAGACGGACAGGTAAAAACATCACTGCAGCTGGAGATCCTTATCAAACTGATCAACAGCAATGATTCTGTAGATTGCATCGTGAAGTACCACACCATGGCCACTTGATGTTGCTCTCAACCAATTCATTATATTGTGGTTTTATTTCAATAATGTAACAATTTTCAGTAACTGAAATAGGACTACTTCCTTGCCAGGTGGTATTACAGTAAATAAAGAAACTTGTAATTAGATTTATGTTTTTATTTCCTGGTGCAGCTTTAGTAAATCTCTTTAAATGACTTGATTTACACCGAAGACAAATGTCGTTTGCGGTCGCTGTGGATCTATTCCTTACAGTTCTCATTTATATTAGCCGACAAAATGAGCTGTAGAGGGTAGAGATGTGACGTTCGGGAACTGATCCGGATCGTTTGAACGGCTCTTTACAAAGAACCGAGTTGCAGACAGTAAATATCTGTTGCTAGTCGATTTATTTCCTCCGTAATTGGGGAATGCCATGCAAACATTATTCACCTCGGAAGTGAGTCTACATTTCTATCTCCATGTATGCGGCCCAAACCACATCTACCCCTACAAAAGTTATATCAAAACGACTGGCTCGGCCCCGTGATGTGTGCTATTACTTTTATTGGCATTTCAAGTTACCATGGCGACGTAATTTGCAAACAAAGACGCAATATTTCCATCAACTCCAGGAACTAGTTGGTGACTGCCCACTTATTATTCTACACCTGAAAAGCACATCTTTTTCAACTTTAATGTGGCCCGAAACGCAACGTGGACCCCCCACAAAAGTTATATCAAAACGACCGGCCCGGCTCAGGGAAGTGTGCAATTACTTTTATAGGCATTCACAGTAACCATGGCGACATATTTTGCTAACAAAGATGGAGAAAACTTCACAGAAACTAAGTAACATATGGAGCCATTTTGGTTCAACATGCGAGGAAGGCAGTGCATTATGCAATGCATGGAACGCACTTATTATTACCTATTATCACCTATTATTATACCTATTATTATTATTATTTTGTAATAATAATAATTAATCTTAATGATAAATTATTAAAGTTAATTATCTATTTTATTATTAATAAATATTAATATAAATAAGTAATTGAATTCTAATACAAATTATTGGTGTGCATATTATTAATATTGATTATTATTATTAACATTAGGGCAGCACGGTGGCGCAACTGGTAGAGCTGCTGCCTCTCAGCGAGCAGGTCCCTGGTTCAAACCCGGTCCAGGGGGCCTTTCTGGGTGGAGTTTGCATGTTCTCTCCGTGCATGCGTGGGTTTTCTCCGGGTACTCCAGTTTCTTCCCACAGACCAAAAACATGCATGTTAGGCTGATTGGTAACTCTAAATTGTCTCTAGGTGTGAGTGAGAGAGTGAATGGTTGTTTGTGTCGTTTGTCTCTATGTGGCCCAGTGATGGACTGGAGACCCGTCCAGGGTGTACCCCGCCCCTCGCACAGTGATTGCTGGACATGGGCACCAGTGACCCCCGTGACCCAAAATGGAATAATTCAAAGTTTATCCAGGAACTTTCTAGTTTCTTCACGTTTTCCTCCTTAAATGCACAGGCAAACACTCTTGTGCTTGAGACAAAGGAGACAAGGCAAAGGGGAGCAGCAGCTCAGCAGGGGTGGGGGTTGGGGCTTTCCCGGGCACGGGCAACTTTGTGCGTGATGACGTCACTTCCGTTCAAATTTGAATGGCTGTATGAAGCAAACGGATCATAAAGAGCTGGCTCTTCAAAGAGCCATAAATCCCGTCTCTAGTAGGGGGAGTAAAAACACTGATAGTGAAAGTATTTTTTAGATTGTACCACTGCAGAAATGAAGAGGTAATAATTGATCAATGTCTGTAAGAACCTTACCACCTAGGTTACTAAATGAAATGTTAAATCTGTTGGTTGTAAATGTGATTGTGTCCTACTGAGTGTGGTGTAACGGTTTCATTCAAAGGTCTTTTAGATATATTTGTTTTCCAACCTGTAGAGTTTTCACCCCGATGAGTTACACCCACATGTCCCAGTCCAGATTTCAAATTTCAGGCGGACTAGCTGAATCATGGCAGGTGTTCTTGTCTTGTGCTGCTTTTTTCTGTTAGAGATATTTTCCAAAGGTGAGAGAAACGCTGTGTTCTGTTTAAATCCTACTGTCGTTGTAAAGCTAGACGATTAATTTTCTAGAAACAAGTTTATGCTCTGCTCAGGTTAAAGTTCACGCCAGATGACTCGCTGAATCACAGATCGAAGCGCTGGTGGGAGCAGGTTGTTGATTTCAGGCGTTTATAAAGAGTTTTAGTGCCCGTGTCACGTAGCTAAAGAGTTAACCAATAGGTTAGTTTGAAATGTAATACACTGGTCGGGGCCCTGGGAACGTTATTTTAAAGATAACTATACTAACAGCTCACAGGAGATACAACTTCCTGTTTAAATTAATGGCGGTGCCTCCACTTAGGAGGGAATTGTGAATTTATACCTTGTTTGACCCACTAAGAATTTAATTCAGATAACTATGTTTATATTAAATACACTCCCTTGGAATACAAAAATAACACTTAAAGTAACTTTCAAACAAGACACTGATATCCAAGAAAAAAATGTAAATAGAATAACTAATTTGTGGCAAAAATAAAAACAACTTTTCACAGTACTTTCAGTTTCTATCAATTTAACCCAAATATTTGCGTTCCATAATTACCCCTTAATATTTCAGGTAAGGCTTTTAAAACATAAAACGCAACCCCAAAATAACCCGTTGCAGGCCTGAAACGGTGCATGGGAGCTAAAAACAAACAGCTCGTTCGCTCACTGAGCAAATAAAATATAAAGCATGCGCATTGGTTTAGTTTTGTACTCACAAATCCTTCAACGTTTGAGACCGGACCGGGAAAGGTAGATGTGGAGATCCCTTTAATATGGCACTGAGTAAGGTAGGCAGGTTGATGTCTCACAAGATCCTTCCCAGCAGCAACTTTGATGGTGGGAGCCCAACAGCTGGAATGGGGAACATCTAACTCGTCCAGTAGGTCCAAAGATTAGCTCCTGGTCCACTGTACACATTAACAGCTCTTAGTCCATATTCCTTAGTAAAACACATTGGCTTATCATATGGAGCCATTAAGAGCTTAACCAGCCTCTAATGTTTGGATTTACATTTCATTATACAATAATCTGAGCTGCTACATCGTGCTAGCATGCTAAAATGCTAGTTGCACTTAGCATGGTATTGAAACTGCATAAAACATACAGATAAAGGTATTTACAGTTCATATGCTTCTTAAAGTTTGTTACAGTCGGCAACTCTGCGTTAACTGTTTGTTATTGTCCCACGTCTGCGTCACTGTGCGCTCTGCCTTGTCTGGTTTTCACACTGACCCACATTTCATGCAGCGTACCATTAATCCCGCCCACTCCCATGTGATTGGGCAAAATAAAATGCTTAATCCAATACAAAACAAAACTGAACAAGATTGACGCTTGGCACAACTCAAAGAGTAGGTTGTGAAACTGCCACCTGGCACCCATGTGCATCACTCCTCAAACAAACTTTTATGAAACCTTCAAGGAACGTAGTAAAAATGAGAACTCCCCGTTTCAGTCTGCTTAAACTAGATTTCCTTGAGCAAATATGAACTGTTGTTAAAATTATACATTTTTGACAATGACAAAAGAGTTAATCTTTCATATTTATTCCACTTTTGTCACTTAGTCATTGTTTTTAAACTTAAAGGATATCACTATGAACTTGGTTTAATGCTTAGTTTGTAGCACAGTTCAAACTGGGCTACACAGCTAACACCATCATCTCCATGCAGGAGCAGCAGCTGTGATTCAAACAGAGACGATTGTGTTGGCAGCAGTAGGAGGTCAAGCCTGTCTGACCTGTCAGCTCACGGAATATAAAGAGGTCGTCCAATTCACGTGGCAGAAGATCCTCCCTGATGGAGAGAAGAACCTCGCCACGTACGCCAAAGCGTTTGGTCAAAGAGTGAGTCCTGATGTGAAGAAGAAAATGGATTTCCATTGCAAAAAGCTGCAGAACTGCTCGGTGGTGATCAGGAAGGTGACGGAGCAGGATGAAGGCTGCTATCGCTGTTTGTTTAACACCTATCCTCAAGGAGCTATGATCGGCACAACCTGCCTCAGACTTTACGGTAAGGCTATGTGCTGAGCATCAACTACTGCAGCGCTTTAGATTCAGGTAAACATGATGTTTCTCTACATCTGTGAGACAAGACGGCAATTTACTGAGCCTAAATGAGTCTGCAACAGTGGACCTGAGGTGACAGAATAGACAGAAAGGAACTTGATCAGTGAGCTCAAACCAACAGCAAGCGTATCAAACAGAAGTCCTGGCCAGCTGTAATATTTACTGAGACAACATTCCCTGAATGTGCCCTGAAGGTTTTACAAAAGAGTTTTTAAATCTTTAGAGGTTCGTTTTAAAAGGTGTAACACACCTTCAGGAGATCTTTAGAAAAAGTTTAGGCTATCGGCCAATCTAACCTCTTTTAATCACATTAGACAAAAAGATGAAAGATGTTGCTTTAAAAATGCCTTCAATGGCTTTAATAGGAACGGTTGATGCTTCTGTTTTTCTTTCAGAGCTTATAAAGAATTTATCAGCTTTCACATTTATTTTTTGTCATTTGTTTGAAGGTTTTGGCAAAAAAAAAAAAAAAAAACCCCAGAAAATAAGAATTGCTTGAATGAACCTTTAGTTGAAACGTTCAAATCTAATTTCTGTATAAAATTGATTGTTAAATCATCCTCTGTAAATTTGATTGGGTCGAAACCACGTTTTTGATTCAGCAACACCTCGCCTCAGTGAGATGGGATATATGTTCTCTTTTATATGTTTGAAAACTACTCCACTGTTTTAAAAAGTGTACAGTAGTCCCTCACTTATCGTGGGGGTTACATTCCAGACACCTCCATAATAGGTGAAAATCCACAAAGTAGGGAAGGTATATATATATATATATATATATATATATATACACACACACACACACACACATGATTAGGATTTTTAAACCTTTCCCAAACTCTTGCAATGTTCTAATCTCTCTAAACGTTCTAAAAGAGCACAATGAAAGAGCAGACAGACTGATGCTATGGTTATTGAGCCAATGCCGGGGGCGGGCTGGCCATCGGGAGCACTGGGAGGGTCCGGTGGCCTGGCCCGCTCCATGATCGCCAAGGGGGACTAAGGGTGCATTCACACCAGCCCTGTTGTCCCGAACTCTAGCCACCACATAAAAAGCCTCCGGATGTTTGTTTTGAAGCGAGCTGACGTTATCATTTAGTTCCCGCAGTGCGTCTTTAGTATTAGCATCCATAATCCACATTAGCGTAAGTTAGACAATGTGCAAAATATTTCAGAACTGAACCTCTTACAGGTCCAAAACATGTGTGAACAATTTGCTGTTGGCGTCGCTCACAAAGAGGGGGCACTGTCAATTTTTATTTTTGCAAGCCCAGCTTTAGTGTAGTGTGTGGATTAGTGTGCCCTCTCCCACCACAACACACTGTCTGAATTCAACAGTCCCATTTCTGTCTCCGTCTCCCATACAGTAGTCCCTCGATACTTTGTAGTTCGACATTTGTGGACTCACTCTTTCACAAGTTTTCAACGCAAGATTGTACACGACACGATTGGCTGATTGACTGAAGGCGACCAACCAGAGCATTGTGCTGAGGGGCGCAACCTGTTGTGTCTCTGCTCTGCTGTGGCAGACAGCCTCAAAGAGAAAGGAGGGGGCGGGAGGATCTGTCTCATACCTGAGTGAGCCGCACAAGCTTCATGAATTGTTGATTTAAAATAATCAAGCACGACCCAAACTGATCCTATAGGTTGTTCTCACACTTGATAGTCCGGTAGACTCGGTTCTGTTGGGGATCAATATTCATAACATTTTGTTTTTATTTGAGCTGGTGCGTTTGCATTCACACTGCACTGTGTAGTCGAGCCAACCTGTTCAAACCAACCTGTTCCCCCACTCGCCTGTGGTGGCGCTGCACCAAGAACTACTGAAAGAAATGACACAAACACCTCTGAAGAAGACACTTCTTCTTCTTCCAGAAATAAAAACAAAAACGGAATGGCGTCAAATTTTAGCAGTTAAAGGAGTTCTATTTAGTCATTTTTCAACAATGGACTCAGCATGAGCAGAAGATGAGGCAGAAGACCATGGAGAATGTTGTTTTTCATACAAGGCAGCTGACCGCTCTATATCAGGCTAGGGATTTTAATCAAGTATACCTGAAAGACACTCTGCTAATATTGTATCAGCATGTGACCATTCCAACATGGGGAAATAACACATTAGACCGTGTTTATACCAACATACGAGACGCAAATGGAGCAGTACCACTCCCCTACCTTGTTCTCATGGACCTCATCTCTATTTTTCTGGCCGCTGTCTACCACCCCCCACTGAGACATTCCAGACCCACACAGAAGATCATCACCGTGTGGCCCAGCGACAGCAACTCTGTACTGCAGGACTGCTTTACAATCGCAGACTAGCAGGTCTTCAGGGAGGTTTCTGTAAACAAGGGAGAACTGGATCTGGAGGAATACACATCTGCTGTCTTCAGATACATCAGCAAGTGTGTTGATGATGTCACCACCACCAGGACTGTGAAGTGCTACCCGAACCAAAAACCCTGGCTGAACGCAGAGTTCTGTACTCTGCTGAACGCTGGGGATGCTGCCTTCAGGTCTGGCAACTCACAGGAACTGGGGAAGACAAGAAAAGAGCTGACTGCTGGTATTAAGAGGGCCAAAGCAACATATGCACGGAAGATCCAGGGACATTTCTTCTCACAGAACCCAAGGAGCATGTGGATGGTCATTAAGTGCATCACAGACTATAAAAACAAAGGTACACAATGTGCTAAGGACCCATCACTGCCTGATGCTCTTAACAGGTTCTATGCCCTCTTTGAAGACCCAAATATACCATCCAGCACCAGACTCACCTCACCACCGGCAGAGGAGTTTCTCAGCGTGACCTCAGCAGAAGTTAGGAGTACCTTCAGGAGGATTAATCCTCACAAGGCAACTGGCCCAGACAACATCCCAGGGAAGGTGCTGAATGACTGTGCCGATCAGCTCTGCGAGGATCTGGCCGACATCTTTAACTCTTCACTCACTTCCCTCTCCCCAGCCACTTGGTCCAGCTCCTCCAGGGGAATCCTGAAGCGTTCCCAGGCCAGCCGAGAAACATAGTTTCTCCAGCGTGTCCTGGGTCTTCCTCTGGGTCTCCTCCCGGTCTCGGTTCAGAATTTATTTGTTTATGTATTTGTTTACAACAACTGATGTATTGTTGGGTCAACTGTAAATGTTTTTATGTATTTTTTATTTTTTTTATCCTCCGATGTCTGTGTGCAGAGCTGCATGAACCCGTCCTTCAGGCCAGAGGATCAAAGTCTCCTGAAGAGTCACTTGTGTCGTGTTCAGCCACAGGTCGACCTGCTCCCACTGTAACTCTGACTGCTCCACAACAACACCTCCACTTGTCACAACACAACACCGTCACAGTCACCAACACCAACAATACAGTCACCGTCACCACCACAGCTGTGCTGTCAGGTCTCCATGACGACGGCGCACAGGTTGGATGTGCAGCCAGAGTGGACTCTGGTCCTCAGGTGGAGGTGGTGAAGAGGATCGCTGAGTTCAGACAGACGACGGCTGATGATGGTGAGGAACTGTTTCCAAGACTCAGATTCACTGATCTGAAATCACGTTGTCATGTTTAAGTTTGATGTCTCTTTGATCAGGTTTTCATGAAAAACTGAGCTCTGATGAACAAAGTAAGTTACATTTCCTGCAGTTTAAATTAGGATTTCCTTCTTTTTTAATGTTCCTCCATTTAATATTTTGACTTATTTTTCAGCATCACATTTCACCTGGATTTATGTCGTATTCCCAGTGATCTTCATCTTCATAGTATCTGTTTGTGCGTTCAAACTTTATAAAAGAAACAAAAACAGGTAATGTTTAATCTCAGTGAAGTTTGTGACATAAAAATCTCAGCGTTAATGATTTTATGACCTTTAAAGGTCAAACAGATCTTACATAATAAATATTTAAACTCTTGTCTTCCACTCAGTGACCCTGAAAATATCAAAACTCCTCAAAAACCAACTCAAGATGAAACTGAGTAAGAACTTTCTGTGTTTTGTGTCCATTTTTGCTACTTTTAAGATGTTTGGATCTGTCCCTGTTTGTCCGTTTCTTGCTTCCTAACAACCTTTTAGTCTTTTAATTTCCAGTATGATCTTTGAACACAGTCCAGTTTCCTCTGCAGTTCTTTTTATCATCCTACAGAGCGATGTAGCCGTTGAACATGTGAATAATATTTCATGTTTGTGGCACGGATTTAATATTTGATGTTTTATTTAAAGGATCAAAACAGCCTTGGTCCACCAAAACGAGAATGTCAGACTTAGATCATCTACCAAGAAACTTCCAGAGAACAAGAGATCAACATCATCAACTTTTATACCAAAACAATTGTTTTGAGCAGAGTCTGACATGAGTGATGAAGCTCATCAGAAGAGAAGAACAACATGAAATACTCAGACGTTGCAGAAAAAGTACAGTTTTTAAAAACCACTTGTCTTATATGTTTGTTTATATTGTTTGTTAGGTAAGAAATCTTGTAAATTATGTAATAAATGTATGCAATAGATAACAAGAAAGAAAAAAAATCATTTTAGAACAAACAAATGGATTCAATTCAATTTAAAAAAACCTTTTTTAATTGTAACCAACCTTTTGTACATGTCAAATCATTTCTCTAAAGTGTGTATCAAAGAACAATTACAGCCTGAGTCTCAGTCTCTTTGTTAACAGAACGACCAGGAGTCTTTATTAGTCATTCACACCCCATGTGGTACATGTGGTGGAACCAAATTATGTACACAGGGTCCCAGTTACATCCAACAATAAAATGTAAAAGAAAAAAAACAGTAGTAAGATCTAAGACATGAACTAGGAGAAACATCAGCTAAAAATACGCTAAGCAGTTAGAAGTTGGCTTGTTTTCGTCTCTTTCAAAATGATGTTTTTTTTTTGTTGTTGTTTTTTGACTCTACAAAAGTAGGACATACATTTATCACCTGCTGGTAAATGGCTCCACATCAATACTTGAAAATGAGTTCTCGTGACACATTGAGACCACCTGTACAAACCGAATTCCAAAAAGTTGGGACACTAAACAAATTGTGAATAAAAACTGAATGCAATGATGTGAAGGTGCCAAGATCTAATATTTTATTCAGAATAGAACACAAATCACAGATCAAAAGTTTAAACTGAGAGAATGTATCATTTTAAGGGAAAAATCTGTTGTTTCCAAATTTCATGGCGTCAACAAATCTCCAAAAAGTTGGGACAAGTCCATTTTTACCACTGTGTGTCATCCCCCCTTCTTCTTACAACACTCAACAGACGTCTGGGGACAGAGGAGACCAGTTCCTCAAGTTTAGAAATAGGAATGCTCTCCCATTCATGTCTAATACAGGCCTCTAACTGTTCAATCGTCTTGGGCCTTCTTTGTCGCACCTTCCTCTTTATGATGCGCCAAATGTTCTCTATAGGTGAAAGATCTGGACTGCAGGCTGGCCATTTCAGTACCCGGATCCTTCTCCTACGTAGCCATGATGTTGTGATTGCTGCAGAATGTGGTCTGGCATTATCGTGTTGAAAAATGCAGGGTCTTCCCTGAAAGAGATGACGTCTAGATGGGAGCATATGTTGTTCTAGAACCTGAACATAGTTCTCTGCATTAATGGTGCCTTTCCAGACATGCAAGCTGCCCATGCCACAAGCGCTCATACAACCCCATACCATCAGTGATGCAAGCTTCTGAACGGAGCGTTGATAACAACTTGGGCTATCCTTTTCCTCTCTGGTCCGGATGACATGGTGTCCCAGTGTTCCATAAAGAACTTCAAATCGTGACTCATCTGACCACAGAACAGACTTCCATTTTGCCACACTCCATTTTAAATGACCCCTGGCCCAGTGCAAACATCTGAGCTTGTGGAGCTTGCTTAGAAATGGCTTCCTCTTTGCACTGTAGAGTTTCAGCTGGCAACGACGGATGGCACGGTGGATTGTGTTCACTGACAATGCTTTCTGGAAGTATTCCTGAGCCCATTCTGTTATTTCCTTGACAGTGGCATTCCTGTTTGAGGTGCAGTGATGTTTAAGGGCCCGGAGATCACGAGCATCCAGTAGAGTTTTACGGCCTTGACCCTTACGCACAGCGATTGTTCCAGATTCTATGAATCTTTTGATGATGTTATGCACGGTTGATGATGATAACTTAAGAGTCTTTGCTATTTTACGCTGGGTAACACCATTCTGGTATTGCTGCACTCTTTCTGCGCAACAATGGTGGAATTGGTGATCCTCTTACCATCTTGGCTTCTGAGAGACACTGACACTCTGAGAAGCTCTTTTTATACCCAATCATGTTGTCAATTGACCTAATTAGTGTTAATTGGTCTTCCAGCTGTTCGTTATATGATCAATTTCCTTTTTCCAGCCACTTATTGCTACTTGTCCCAACTTTTTTGGGATTTGTTGACACTGTGACATTTTGAATCAACATATTTTTCCTTTAAAATGTTACATTTACTCAGATTAAACTTTTGCTCTGTCATCTACGTTATATTACGAATAAAATATTGACATTTGCCACCTCCACATCATTGCATTCAGTTTTTATTCACAATTTGTTTAGTGTTCCAACTTTTTTGGAATCCGGTTTGTATAAATAACGGGTAAATGAAAAACTTGAACACTTTTCTTGACCTCTGAACATTTCTATTCTCTATTTTTTTTAACAAGGTACAGAAAACAAACACGTCACATCAGTCTACATTTACTGTGTTTTACTACGACGTGTTACTTTCTGTATATTCAGTCATGATTCATCTGTATAATGTAAATCGTATTTTTTTTTGCTTTAAACACTGAATTCACTGTTTATTAATAGTGTTGATTTAATTCATAAGTTTTTTTATCTCCAAAAAAATTTCATTTATTTTTTAATATTTTCAACTTTATGTTTCTGTTGCTGCAAAGTCTCTTTTCTAACATAACTGTAAACACTAGTTCCTGTTGTTCTGTACACATTTTTTGTTATTTTTTTTTTCTATAATGGGTTTTATAAAAGAAACTGAAAGGTTTTAAAGTATTCTTGTCCTTTACTAAATCAGAACAATCATTTAACACAGTCATCAATAAAAGAACACACAAATGTGACCAGTGATAACTTTCTTTTACCTCAGAAACAGAAACTCATCAGATTGTGGTGAAACTTAATAAAAAATGTATTAAAATTAAGATCTTTTTGTGAAGTTTTGATTAAAAATCAGCACCATGTACGTCTTCATAACAAAACATGAATAAATACTTCAGTAAAGCTGAACATTTAGTTTTTCTATTCAAAGTGAGCATGTATTAAGTAGATTTAAAAATATATATTTCCTAATAAGTCCCCATACGATGCAAATAAATAAAAAAGTCATGTATTTTTAGCTGATTGCATTTAGGCAGAAACTCTGTGATTCATGTATAATGTTTTTTTTTTACTTTATTTAACCATAACAATACAAAACAAAATCTTACAATCAAAATTTACAAAAGGTGATTCATAACATAATGGAAATTTAAAAAAAAATAAAGAAGGATAAAAAAAATGGCATGAGGAAATTGAAATTAACCAAGAAACTAAGAAATTTACCAGCATTTTTTCATTTACATATTTTAAAGATTTTGCATAGGACTTGAGCTCATTCTTCCAGTGCTTCACTTTAGGTTTACATTTGAAAAAACGACATTTATGAACATAATGTTTAGCTAATATAATCAAATTATTGATAGCATGTTCATTATTTCCAGTCTTATTAATTAACCCAAATTTGACTTCTTTTAAAGTGACAGTAAGTATCTGAATCACTTTGGATTGGATCCACATTTTAAAATCAAGCCAAAATTGCTGAACCATCATGCAATCAAAGAAAAGATGTTCCAGGTTCTCACTCTCTGTCTCACAGAAAACACAATTGCCAGTGTCCATTTTAAATGTTGTCCTTAGAAATTCCTTAGTATGATAAATTCTATTTAAGATTTTAAATTGAATTTCTTTGGCTTTAGATGGGGATTCATGTGTAAATATTCTGAGAAAATATTTTGTTTTCAGATTGTGCTGCAGGTTCTCAACATGACCACTAGATGGCGCAGTTCGACAATGACTAATGTGGTAAATCATCTCAATATTTATAGATACAGGTGTTCTGATCTAATTTAAATATATATAGTTATTTATTTAAAAAAATACATTATTTTTTGTTCAATTAGTGCTTTAGTGTTCATTAACAACATAATCTGTATTTGATAAAAGTGCTTTGGTAGAGTTATTCCCTTCGAAGCTGAAAGTCTTTCTAAATTAATTTACCATTTCTCCTCAAAACATCAAGAAAGCCAACTCTATAATATTTCAGTTCCTGTGGAAAAATAAAACCCATTATATTAAAAGATCTCAACTTGTTGGTGATTATAATAAAGGTGGCGTTAAAGCCCTGGATTTAGATTTAGATTGTAGGAACCTTCAAGCTTCTTTAACACGATCTAATTCCATGTGGTTCATAGACCCAGATCTCTATTTAAACAAACAGGAGGAATTGAATTTGTATTAAAATGTGACTTTGAAATTAGTACAATTCCTAGAAAATTAGCTAGT